ACTCAGGCATCGTACCCAGCAACAGTGAGGGTGGGAAGCAGAAGGAGCCTCTCCTTCCCCCACAAAAAGATCTCCAACAGGGTAACAGGAGGCTATGAGGACACTGGGCACGCAAGTGGAGAAGCGACCTCTCCCTCCTGGTGCCGGCCTGGTTTTGGACCAGTGAGGCTCTCCGGGTGGGAGCTCACAGGTGGGTGTGAGGGGCACGCCCCGCCCCCGGCCCCTGGGGAGCCCCACCCAGCGCATCACCGGACAGGGCGTGGGAAGCACAGGCCTAACACAGGCAGGGCTCCCTGCGCCTCTGCATCTACAGGCCCTTCATGCCAGCCGAGGGCACAGCCAGCTGCCAGGAGGGGCCCGTCCACGCCACGTCACAGCTGCCATGGCATCCAGCCCAGGACTGACCCCACTCTGGCAGCCCGTCCACAGGGGCTCAGGAAATCCTGCGATTCCAACAGGTGAGGCACAAGGGTCCTCCTTCTGAAGTGGCCCAGGACCCAGCCAGGGCATGGAGAGGGCCGAGGGCCACTCAGCCTGGGCCACTGGGTGTCCACGTGCACACTCGCTGCGGAGGCAGCGTCTGGGAGCACCAGGCCCGCACAGCTGCTGCGGGAGCCACTGAGGGCACCAGCTCTCCACCTTTGCCAGCCAGATCGTCCCCCTCAACCCGGACCCACCCCAACGAGCACAGGCCAAGGGGAGAGGAGCCGCGCTCTGAGCCAGGGCAGCCCACGGAAGGCACGTCCTTTCCAGCAGAGACACCCGCGAGCCCAGGGCCCAGCGAGAAAGCTCGAGCTTTACTTGTGTCTGTCTCTGTCTGTCTGTCTCACAGACGGCTGGCACCAGAGAGGGGCGTGTGCTCCCACTCAGAGGACCAGACAGGAACATGGGGCCGAGGCTGCCGTGCACACGCTGTGGGGCCTGCTGTGGCCCTGCCAGGACTCCCAGAAGTTTGGCTGGGGGTCTGTATGTGGGCTGGGACCCTGACAGGGACCAAGCTTGGTGAGCCAACAGCCAGTGGGACACGTCCACCTAGGGGGATGGTGGCTTCAGAAGTGAAGGAGAAGGAGCTATGGGCACAGCAGCGCCTGGCCCCGGGTGCTCTGCCAGCAGCAATGCGGGAGGGCTCCTGAGATGCCCCCGGCCCGTGCCTGCCCCGCACTGCTGTGGGCTCTGGGCTCAGTGACTGAACACACGCTCAAGGCCGTTCTGACAGACCTGCCGCCGTGCTCCCGTCCCTGCCACCACAGATGCAGGCAGCAGCTGACCAGGACCCGGACCTAAATGAAAACAGTTGGCAACAAACCCAAATCTCCGACCCCTGGGACACAGCTGTGACACGTCCCCAGGGCACACCCTGAGAGTGGAGCAGAGCAGGAGCCACGTCTGACCAGGACCCGATTAGCGGCCACGGTCGGCGCAAGAGCCATGAGGCCGCACGCGTGACAGGAGGTGTCAGGAGGGAAGGAAAGCACTCACTGTTCAGAGCGAGTGCAACACCAACAGAACACCTGAGATGGGAAGATGCACCTCACCTTTGTCAACCACGTCCCAGACTTCAACTTTCACGATGTCATCCGTGGCTGAAATGGGGAAAATCCTGAGATTAGGACCCAGCACGAACTTCTAGTTTCACAGCGGTGGGCTTCTGCTTGCCCCTGCAGGGCACCAGCCCCCACGGGCGCCTCTGCAGGGAGGCGGAGCCGACGTCAGCATGGCGTCCCCGCCAGGCATCGTCCAGTGCTGCCGCTGAGGAGGGCCGGCCGCAGGCTGGACGCACAGCCCTGGCCTGTGGCGGTGACCCGCCTCACGGGTCTGTTTCCCACCTGAAAGCTGCCCGAGGCAGGGTCCGGCCCGGCTTCTCCCCGGCAGACCCCGGGGCCTGCATGAGACCCCTCGGCCCCCGGCAGATGCTGTCATGCAGGACAGGTCAGAAGGTAACTGTCCGCTTGGGTCACCTCCTGCTGACCCTGTTTTTTCATCCGGTGACCAGCTCCAGTTTGGTTTAGGGCAGTGACCACAGCTCACTGGGTGGGCTGGAGCTCCATGGTCCCCGGGCCCCCATCCAGCCTGGCCCTCTCCACAGGCTTCCCGGGAGCTGCGGGTCCTCCTCTCCTCACACCGTGCGAGGAAGGAGATCCCTGGTCCGATGCTCCCTCGTGCCCCATCCCCAGCAGCGACCTTACACTCTGGGGCGTGTGAGGGCCAGGTGCCAGCGGAGGTGGTGGGGACTCATGCCAGCCTCACCCCAAACGGGGAGGGAGGGCTTCTCTGCCGGCCCTGAGGGCTCGGGGTCCTGGGGAGCCAGCGCCACCCCCCAGGGGGGCAGCAGCCAAGTTGTCCCCAGGCAGTACTCTTGGCTGTCGGGGGTGTCAACCGCCACATCTCGGGAGTTGGAACTCATCTCCTGAAAGGCTCCCACGTGTCCCATCCCACTGTTAACCCGCTAGATTTTTTTCCTAATAAAAAGAAGAATGTTTAAAGTGGCTCAGGGGCCTTTTGCTGTCAGGACTCCCGGACAGGCCAAGCAGCTGCTCTGCCTCCTGTGGCAGCCACAGTCTGTCCACAAGCCGTCCCCTTTTCCCGGGGGCCCAAGTGCACACTGTCCTTGGTGCTCCCCACACGTGCCTCCCCCATCGGCTGTGGTCCCAGCGCCCAGCCCACTCAGGTGAGACCGGGGAGGAGGGGCCCGTCCCAGCCAGCCAGCCACCGCCCACGAATCTTTCAGCGGCACAAGCTCCACGTCCCTGCGAGCTGTGGCGTGGAGTCCAGGCACAGAGGAGCGGGGGCTCCTGCTGCTGTGTGGTGTCTGGGGCCCCTCGTCAGCCCCCAGCCCGCATGCTGGGGCCGGCTCACGTGCAGCTACTGCCCCAGGCCTGCGTCCAGCGTGAGAGTTCAACCTCCAGATGGCAGGTCCCTAAGTGCCTGAGCTCATAGGGGCTTCACACGCAGCGTCCCCTCAGCCGGGCGCCTCGGGAGGACCCCAACCTGGGCCAGTGTCTCCCGGGAACCGCGGCACAGAGGGAGAGGAAATCCAAGCCCAAATCCCGGCGGCGGGTGGGGGGCACTCACTCTTGTAGTTCCAGTGGATGCTGGTGACCTGGATCTCCTGCGTGGGGATGTACTCCTCCACGAACCTCCGGCCCTGCAGCCGCTGCCACAGCGCGGTCTTGCCCGTGTTCCTGTCCCCCCGGATCACTATCTTCACTGCAGGGAGAAACACAGTCACATAAGACAAACCAACCAGAGCTGTACCTTTGAAAGTAACTTCAGATATGCAGAGTCTGTTCTGCTGCAACACCATTTTTATTTCTCAGGTGACTGCCGCACAGGGGACGATCTGCACGGGTGGGGACAGCTCCCAGGGCATGAGGGTGCCTGGCAGGTGGTGTCCCGCCCAGAGGCTACACCTGGGTCAGGATTTTACCTGGAGGACATTAGTCTTTCCCAGAGCCTGAGGCCGGGACCCCTGGACCCTCAGGGCCAGGGCCAGCCTGCTGGGGGGCGGGTGGTGCTCTCCCAACGCAGCGCCTCTTTCCCCTGAGCGCTCTCAGCCGATTTTCTAACGCCCTGGTGTTTTCAGCGCACAGCTTTTTAGAACACCAGGCTTTGCAAGGCCACACAGGTGGGTTACCAGAGAAGGCCCATATCCTCTTTCACTCACCACACAGGTCCCTGCTGAGCAGCCTGAGCTGCCTGTGAGCGTCTGAGGGTCAGCCTGCTGGGGGAAGGGATGGGCACTCCCCGCGAATGGGCGTGGCTGGGGTCAGAGGCACCACATGGTTTACCTTGGAAAGGTGACTCGGTTTCCTCTGGAAAGGTGACTTGGGGAGCAGTTGGGGAAAGCACAGGACCTGGCAAGGACGGGAAGGGCCTGCAACAGGTGCGGGGAGACGGCCTGGCCCCTGGTGACAGCCCTTGGTGGGGGCTGGAAAGAAGACACCATCGAGAAGCCCTCTGAGGTTTCAGGCTCTGGCATCCGCACAGATGGAGGCAGCAGTGCTGGGTCGGCAGCCCCGAGAGGGCCTGTGGTGCTCACAGAGCAGGGCGGACGCCACAGGCAGTGTAGACAGCAGGTGGTGCTTCACACGTGGGCCTTGGTGAGACCACCAGGGGCCCTGGAGAGAGCAGAGGCCCAGGAGGGGAGTCGGGGAAGGGACTGGGCACACAGCAGGGGCCCAAGGCCAGAAGCAGGTGGAAGGTTCCTCCAGACTCACTGCTCTTCCCCAAGTTGTCTCCCTGACTACAGCGACACCAAGCCTGCCCTCTCCAAATCCCGCGGGAACTGAGGACCTGGGCCCCAGGTGCAGACGGCACCCGTGGGAGGGGGCGGGTGTGCCCTGACCTGTGGCGCGTCCTCCTCCTGTGAGGAGCCTCCTCTCAGCTCCTCTTCCACGAGGCTTATCCACCAAATTAATTTCCTCACCCCATTCCACGTGTCCCCAGAGTCCCAACTCCAGCCATCTGAAAGTCACCAGAGCACACCAGAGGCCCTCACTACAAGGCTGAGGCCGGCCCCACACGCACGGCGACCAGGAAAGCCAGGATGCCTGTGTGCTGGGCCTGAGCCCACGTGCACAGGCGTGTGCGAGTCCACGCCCACAGTAAGGCCTCTCTTTCCCTCTCTGGGGACCAGGTGGACAGAGAGGCCCACTGCAACCCAACCTGCCCACGTGGCAAGCTCCCGGTATCCCCGGGAGGCCGCTGGCCAGGTCTGAGACGGAAGACACGGTATCCAGACGCAGCCACAGGAAGGCACTTTCCTTCTGTTGGTCACAAGGATATGACAAGGAGAGAGTGACAGCCCCCTGGAGTGGAGGGGCAGGGGAGGATCAGAGACGGGGACGGCAGGTGCTGCTCTCCTTTGCCAGGCATGGCCGCGAGGCAGGAGCCTGAGGGCGCGCCCACTGTCCGGGCTCGCCTGGGCCGCGCGGGCACCGACTGCTCTGACGCACAGCTGCCGCGTCTTCCAGGCAGTGCAGCAAGCCAGGCCGTGTGAGCATCGCACTAGAACCTCCAAGTGAAGGGCTGTCACTCCACGTCCATCCTGCAGCTCAGAGACCTTAAGTAACTGCCCCGAGCCACACAGCGTGAGCAGGGTCCCGCAGCAAACCCGGCCTGCCAGGGCGACTGCCGGTCCCACTGGCCCACAGGCACACTCTGGGTTGGCCACTGGGCTCTTTCTTGCCCCCACACGATTCTTTCCATTTTCTCCGATTTTCATATAATTTTTATTTTGTTTTCTTACATGGTATATAATTACCTGGTCTTTCCATTTCTTCTTTTCGGGGCTGGGCTTTAACAATGCCACAGCTAGAAGATGTAGCAGCGGGTGTCTGTCCTCCCCTGCCACAGGAATAACCAGTTTAACACTCTGACGAATCTGTTCCTGATCTTTGTATTTTTAAAGAAAATTCACTTTGATTTTGTAAAAAGCACACGTCTTTATAAAGGATTTAAACGAGGTAGAGAAGTACAAAAATGAACGTAAAAACCTCCACATACCAAAGCCAAAAACTCGCACTCATAACCTCTACGGTGTGAACGTCCCGGTCTGCGCGCTCTGTGGTGTCAATGCACAAGTCTTTCCAGTCTCCTACCGCGTGAAGTCCTGTCTACTCCTGACTAGCCAAAAGTCTGTTGCTGTTTTCTCAAATGGATATTAAAAATCATGATTCTCCCCTTCAGTCTCTTGAAGTGAATCATATTAACAGATTGCCTAAGGTTAAGCCACTCTCGCGTTCCTGGGAGGTGGGCCGGGAACGCCGCGGGTTCAGTCTCCTGGGTCTGTTATTTTGCCTCCTGACCCGTGGGCGACACGTGTGCGGCTTTCCTTTCTAGAACTATCCCTGCTTGGGTGAGCGTCAGGGTGACCCGGACACGTGAGACGGATGAGCTGGTGAGTATTCCTTCTGTGCTTTTTGATTTTCCAGAAGCGTTTGTTAAGGCTTTTTTGTTCCTTGAATGTTTGGTGGAACCTCCAGAGAAGCCATCTGGTATTTTCTCAGGGCTTTTTACCTACTGATTCCATTTATGTCAAGGTTATAGGACTTCAGGTTTTCCTGAGCCAATTTTGGCAAGTTTCATTCTTCAAGAATTTATAAATTACATCCAATTTTCCCAAACTTGCTAGCACGACATTGTTTAAAATTCCTCTCATATTTTCGACTTCTGGAGCAACTATAGTTGACGCTTAAACAACCCAGGTTCAACCTGTGAGGGTTCACTTACATTTGCATTTTTTTGAACTAAACATAGACTGAAAATACAGTTTTTGAGGGATGCAAAATTGGTATATACAGAGGGCTCACTTTTCAGACACGTGGGTGCTGTGGGGCCGACTGCGTTAAGTTTAGCGTATGTGGACTGCGGCACGCGTTGGCGCGGGAGGGTGTCCTGGAACCGGTCCCCCAGTACACCGAGGGATGACTTATGTACGCATATGTCCATTAACGAATTAGGTTTATTTGTACATATTATCTTTTACTGACCTCTCCTGCCAGGTATGACAAATTTATTAGTCTTTTCAAAAAATCGTCTCTGAACTTTGTCAACCCCCCTCACGGTGTACTTGTGCTGTTTCTGCTCTGGTCTTCACGATCTTCCTACCTGCTTTCTTTGGGTCTGTTCCACTGTTCTTTTAAAAAAAATGTCTGAAGTGGTCTTACTACTTTCCAGCTTTTCTTTGTTACTGACCATGTGACAATGCTATAAATTTCTTTCCAGCACTGCATTGCCGTATCCCACCAGTTCTGATAGGTGGCTTTTCTGGTATTCACTTCTAAGTACTTTCCTATTTCCATGATTTCTTCTGTTTAAAGTTGTGTCTGTCATTAAATTTCCAAATGCAACATTTAAAATTTTGATTATCATCTGTTATTGACTTTTAGAGAAATTGGTAGGATACTAATTCTTTGAAATGTATTGAAACATGCTTTATGGTCATTCTTAATTTTTCACATGGGTTGAAAAGAATGTGTGTTTTTGAACTAACACAAACTTTTCTCACGGATTGTATCAGGTCATTACTGTGCTGGTCCGATTCTTCCACACGGGTCCTCGGGCTGCTCCCCCTTCACTTACTGCAAGAGACGAGTTGAAATTTCCGCCAGAGTGGTACAGCTGTCAGTTTTTTTGCAGACCTGCTATTTTTCCTATGCAGTACTAGGTGCAATAAGTTTATAATTATCTGCCCAGTAAGCTGAACATTTAAAAAGTCATTTTTGGTGATCCTCAATTTCTCATAACGCTTTCTGCCTCACAGTCTCTTTTATCTGCATTTAATATAACGAAATCAACTTTCAGTTAGCATTTCTAGCATGTATTTGTTAATTATTTTGTTTTTAATCTTTCCACATTCTTGTGTTTTAGGCACGTCTCTCTTTTTTTTTTTTTTTTGAGACAGAGTGTTGCTTTTGTTGCCCGGGCTAGAGTGAGTGCCGTGGCGTCAGCCTGGCTCACAGCAACCTCAAACTCCTGGACTCAAGCGATCCTCCTGCCTCAGCCTCCCGAGTAGCTGGGACTACAGGCATGCGCCACCATGCCTGGCTAATTTTTTCTATATATATTTTAGTTGTCTGATTAATTTCTTTCTATTTTTAGTAGAGACAGGGTCTCACTCTTGCTCAGGCTGGTTTCGAACTCCTGAGCTCAAACAATCCGCCCGCCTCGGCCTTCCAGAGAGCTAGGATTACAGGCGTGAGCCACTGGGCCCGGCCTAGGACGTCTCTTGGAAACAGCCTGACAATCTGTCTTAGCTGAAGCAGTGAATCCGTTTACGTTCACTGTGATTGCCGACACGTGCCGCTGCTCGCACTTCTGCACCTCGCTTCGTGTCCGTCTCACTTGTTTCTGCCCGTACTCCCTTCCTTGTCTTGTTTTTTCCTTCTACTATTAACATTTGTCTGATAGTGTAACAGGCATGCTCAATATCTTCCTCCCAGATAATACACACCCTTCAGAATGTTTTCAATTGTGTGAGCATTTTAGCTCTGTTTTTCTTTTATTTTTTATTCACACAAATTAAGACCATCCTAACATGTCTAGTTCGCATCTGTTTAGACTCACCGCTACATCTGCTCACTCTTCCTTCCTGCATTTGACGCCTGCCTTCAAGGGTCACTGCCTATCTTCCTGAAGTCCTTTCTTTTACGGGGATCTGTTATTTACTGTTCTTCTCTACTGAAAACATTTGCATTCTCAAAAGC